AAGGAGGGGGAGAAGAAGAAGAAGCGAAGGGGGGGGAGGAGGAGGAGGGGAAGAAGGAGCCGAAGAAGAAGTTGAAGCAGCGAAGGGGGAGAAGAAGAAGAGGGCTGGTGGAGGACGGCGGGAAGGGGGGCTCGAAACGGGGGCAAAGAAGAAGAAGAAGAAGAAGCGAAGTAGAAGTGAAGTAGAAGCGAAGTAGAAGCGAAGTAGAAGCAAAGAAGAAGAAGAAGAAGAAGAAGAAGAAGAAATGAAGACGACGAAGAAGAAGAAAAAGAAGAAGAAGAAGAAGATCTCTCTCTCTCTCTCTCTCTCTCTCTCTCTCTCTCTCTCTCCCCCCCCCAAACTAAGTCCCTTACCTTGTTGAGGCGGCCGTTGGGGGGCGACGGCGGGTTCACGTGCGATGACGGGCTTTGGCAGGTGCTGGCGGGGTGCGTTGAAGTTGCGCGTCGTGCCGGCGGACACACAGTGGTGCAAGGCAGGGAAGGGGGGACGTCGGGGCACATCTTCAGACTGGGGGAAGGAACGGGGGCCGGTAGCTCCCGCCCCCACTGATTTGAAATCGGTGCAATCTGGGCCGTCGATCTTCGAGATCGAAGATCCAGATGGGGCCCGATTTCAAATCGGTGAATCGGGCCTACCGGCCCCCTTTTTTTTTTTTCGCGGTCCACATGGTCTATGAAGGGGGCAAAAAGAGCCCCAGTGCCGGAAAAAAAAAAAAAAAAACTACCCTACAGTGATGAGCTGGGGGTGCCCGGTGGCCAACCGGGCGTGACAACCGGCCAGGCGGCCCAGCACCCCCCCCCGGGCGACGGCCAGGCCGCCGGGCGGCCCGGGGACCAGCCTAGCAAATAAATAAATAAATAAATATTAAATAGTAGTAATAATAATAATAATAGTAAAATTGTTAGTCTGCTCACGTGTATGGCTGAAGGACATTTCTGATTCACAGGACACCTCGTCCGCCCAAGCCAATGCAAGTGTTAGCACTCTGCACAATCCTTCCTCTCCGTGCCCTTTTTTCTCTGAATTGCAGGTCCAGGGGTGTTCTTGTCATGTTAAATATCCACTTTCGTCTAAAGGCTCATGTCCCGTTGAGCGGACATGGTTCGTGAGTCCTCCACAGAACAGGCACAGCCTGCACAATCCATCTCGTTGCTATGTTTCTTGGCACCATTGGCACGGCCACACTTGTCACACCATTCCTCCCTGCTGACAGGTTTCATTGAAATGATTGCAATCAACTCGGATGTGATTCCTGTGATTGCTTTAGTTCTGCAATATCTTCCAGAAACCAGAAACCCTTGACGTGGGGAGACGTATACCTCTCATGGCATTTGATGTGATTTCCCTCAGCTTGCTGTGATCGTCATCAATGCATAGTAGTTTGCGTGATTGCATCTTTCTTAGGGCAAAAAACAGTGAAAAGCTCCATGCTCAGAAATATACCAAGACCGCTTAGACGGATAACAAAGTGTGCAAAAAGTTTCAGACTCGCTTGCAGTGCGACCATCGTGTAGTATCCATTGCAAGCTGGCACCAGTCAGTCTGCGTTGTGGTTGTTTACAGATGGAATCTGATGGATGCATAAAGGGATTAAGCTTACCCTCTTTCCCCGACCACAGTGCATCCTGATAAGGAATGAAATCTGATGGATGCAGAGAGGAATTAAGCTATACCCTCTTCCCTGGAACACCACACACCCTGATAACGAATGTATGCAAGCTATCTTTCTGGTCCAGTGCAGCCAAAATGAGGGTGCATTGTGTTTGGGGGAAGACGCTAGTCTTTTCTTCGCGTGTGCTGGAATGACAGAGCGTGCACTGTGCAGTGCGGGCCGGTGCGCAGCGCACCAGTGCGCAGTGCAGTGCGGGCCGGTGCGCTGTGTGCTGTGTGCTAAGCTATACCCTCTTTCCCCGACCACAGTGTATTCAATTGCTATCAACCATAGTTGCAGCGCACCAGTGCGCAGTGCAGTGCGGGCCGGTGCGCTGTGTGCTGGAATGACAGAGCGTGCACTGTTCGCAGTGCGCAGTGCGCGCTGGGGAAGGTGCGCCGTGTGCGCGAAAAAAAAAGAAGAAAAAATGTGCCACTGAGAGAGAGAGAGAGAGAGAGAGACCAAAGGGTACCCTTCATCAATTCGAGGGAGGGAGAGAGAGAGAGAGAGAGACCAAAGGGTCCCCTTCACGTCAATTTGAGGGTCCTGTATATGTGGAGTCATCGGGAACCACTGCTTCAATGAGAAGGATGGCCACAACATATGTGGAGGAGGTGGGAGCAGACCAGCAATATATTCTGTGGGGTTGAGTTCAGGTCTGTAGCTCGGGAGTTATGGGTCACCAATTTAGCTAGACCCTGTTCGTGTCTCCACGTGATTCTTAGGGCCTCCCTCCACCACTCGGTGGTACTCACCAAATGTATATAGCATCAGTAGAATGCATCTTCTGCTAAAACATGGAAAATCATACACCGCCGTATGCTATGTCTTTTGTGCATGTGGTAAGTAGTGGAGCGGGCCCCACTGTACGTCCTCGTAAGGAAAAAAAAAAAAAAAAAACGAGAGAGCTACAGGCATCTTCATCCTAAGTTCCTAACCCGTAACTGCCGGGATGCAGACCTGAATGCTAATCTTCAGCATTGGTGGTCGGCTGGCCGTGTAAAACACATCTAGTGGACTTCTGCGGAGGCGGGGCAGGTCGCTATTGGGCACCTTCTTTCAGATTTTTCCCACCACTGTGTGGGATTCGCAGAAGGGAGGGGGAAGGCCAGTTTCCACTCCCCGCCTAAAGGGCCTGTGGAAATCAATCGAATTTTGGCAGCCCTTGCCCAAAACACATTTTGGGCCAGGGGTGCGGCAGGTTTCTGAACTCGCGCGGTGAGTTTAACATTTTTGCCGAGTTGGGGGCCCTAAGAAATTATGGAAACCCCTACCTCTATTATTTTTTTTTATTTTTATTTTTTTTAGGGACCTAATTTCTTGAGTGCGGTGCGATTCGGTGCGCTGTGCAGTGCGGTGCGCAACGCGTGCGCAAATCTGTGCACCGAGGTTCGCCGCAACTATGCTATCAACCTATTCAGTCCACTCTATGCAGCCTGTATCCAGAGGTAGTCTATATTCTTTGGAGCTTTCAGCATACACTAGAGTTTTCTATTTTGCGTTAGCTATTAGCAAGGTAGATGGACTGAGGTGGGGAAGATTTATGATAATGCCATCGCAGAGGGGCTTGTTCAGTGATATGGAAAATGTAGCGAGCGCCATAGTCGATAGGTGTGCGGCAGGCCCCAGGGTAGGTGCGGAGCCATTGCCTGTGCGAATGGGAAAGTCATGTTGACACGTCCATCGGTCCAACCCTGATCCTTTCCTGTCAAGGTGACCAGTAGAGTTTTCTTCCCTTTGGTGCCCCAGAAAGGCCCACTAGGCTTCTAGTGGTGAGGGGCGTGCTGCTTGAATCATCACTCGCATGTTCCGAGCTTGTGTCAGCTTTTTAAGTTGAAGCAGTCGATGTTTGCGGTTTTGCTGCCTGCATGATTGTTGCTTGCTTCACATTGGAGAACTGGTCATGTTGCTGTCTAGCATAGCGTGTCGGTGGTTATATTGATGGAGGGAGGGAGGGATGATATGGCATAGACGGATATACCCGAACCACGAACCGTACGCGATATGGTTATCTTTTCAGTCTAATGATCTAACAGTGAAAATCTTAATCTGACTTTGCCCTTGCAGAAGATACCACTGCGAATCTCAGATCGGCGGCCGGGTGACTGTGCAGAGGTCTTTGGATCAACAAAGAAGGCTGAGGAGGAACTTGGATGGAAGTGAGTGCCCATTGCAGTCCTGATCCCAATTTCATGTTTCCCTTCATTCTTGTTAAGAGAATCTGTTCTTCATTTTGTTTTGATATTTCAAAGCTCTCTTTGGCAGGTCATTTCCCAGAATATTTCAGTATTTGTCTGGGCATAATAGCTGTGTCATGTTCAAAGCCTGTTAACTGTCAACGAATCAGTGCATCTTTCTTCTGACTGCAATGTAGGAATTGAGTTAGCGCCAATTTCCTCTCTCGCCTCTCTCTCTCTCTCTCTCTCTCTCTCTCTCTCTCTCTCTCTCTCTCTCTCTCTCTCTCTCNACACACACACACACACACACACACACACCTACTCCTCTCTCTCTCTCACACACACACACACACACACACACACACACCTACTCCTCTCTCTCTCTCACACACACACACACCTGCTCCTCTCTCTCTCTCACACACACACACCTGCTCCTCTCTCTCTCACACACACACATGCCTGCTTCTCTCTCTCTCCCTCTCTCACCTGCTACTCTTTCCCCCCGTTCTCTCTCTCTCATCCATCCATTCCTTCTGACCTCCAAACTGCCTCAATGGACGGATTCAGCAAAGCTTTGTGCTCTCAGTTTTTATCCTTTTGGAATTTTGGTTCTTCCATCAGGTAAACAGTGGAGGTGCAGAAGGCGGCTGGAAGGGCAGGCGGTGCTATGGAAAGGAAGGGGAGGGCGAGCAGGAACGAATGGTGGAAGGAGGAAGAGAGAAAGAGAGTCCTAGGATAAAGGAGGAGAGGAGGAGGGATGTTCAGGGACCTGACCATCGTACACACTGCAAAGACAAGTGTCTATCCTTGGAAGCAGGGCATGGAGGGGGGTGCCCAGTGTGGTGGTGTGTCAACATTTTTTAGTAGCAAGTGTTGGATGCATTCCGTTATTCTCATTGGTGTGGTGCACGTGTTTGCTGTCTTGCTTCCCACCATAAGCATTCCTGATCCGCAACTTCGAATTGCAACGAGTATGTGGCAAAGTCCCAGAGAGCTCTCTACCCGATGCCTTGGCTACCCGTTTGCGTGCAGAATGTCTTATCCCAAGTACTTCAGTTGATAACAACTTTTGAAAGCATGGCACTGCACTTGGTTATTTTCATGCGATCGGCACACACTGTTATGATCCAATTCCCCTTCCTAACATTTTTGTGGCGACGATGATCCATGATAACAGGCAACCAGGATTTTGTGCAGGTGGCTGCCCACTGCTGGGCACCCGTCTATGCGAAGTCCTGGTCGCCGGGAACTGTGGAGACTATTGGCCTGATTGCAGCTTTACACCGTCACGGTGGTCTTTGATTTAGACTTGAGAATCCAGTCGTGATTGTCTAGGGATCCTCTCTGCTTTTCTCTGATGGGTATGTGTCTGTGAACCAGTGGCGCATTTAAGTCGCTCGATGGAGAGGGCTGGCTGTAAGATAAGCGAGCCCCATTGTGTCTGTTCCCAGCTTTCGCATTGCGTGGAATTCCACTGTATCTGTGTGTTTGCACGAGAGTTAGCTCTTGAACCACCAGGACATGGCCACCTGGGCCGTGGGTCTGATGCCTCAAGTTCTGGAGGCGTGAAACGAAAACGGGGACGCAATCGAATTTATCAACGGTGGGCCCAGCGTTTGACGTTTCGGCCCCGTTTTTTTGTGGCAACAAGTTTTGGACTGCAAGGCTGGGCCCGTGTACTTGCGGTTTAATTCTCATGACTTAGACAGGGAAAATGGCATGGAAATCGTCTATTTGATGTTCTATAGACTGCTGTGGCACGTAGGTGACTCGGGAGTGGGGCTTTTAATCGTCCTGCTGCGGACTGGTGTGGCACGTAGGTGACTTGGAAGCAGGGCTTTTGATTGGCCTGCTGACTGTCATGGGCTGATCAATATGTGTCTGCATTGTGGTCTTTTACTCTGACAGGGCAAAGCTCAGCATCGAGGATATGTGTAGAGACCAATGGCGGTGGGCATGTAAGAATCCTTGGGGTTACAGGGAGCATTACGCGGCAGAAGCTCATAAATCTGCCCCATCAGCAGGAGAGACAGAAGCCGGCTTGGTAAAGCAGGTGCAGATCTCTTCTCCATCAACATCTGTGGTGTGAGATGCAAAAATGTCGTCTATACAATTTCAACACATAAGGCAATCCCAGTATTCACACAATCCACACGTGCAATAAAACCCTGGTCGTATCATGCGCTCCAATGCTTTGGTACAAAAAGAAAAGAAAAAGAACATTCAACATTCTTGCAAAACTGGAGCTGCAATGATGCTGATCATATGGAAATGCTCACTGACATTTAACAGCATGGCGGCTGTGGTTTCGTGTCGCTTAGAGAGGGATGCTGTCCTTTGCAGGGGCACATTTTTTTGTCCGTGGAGAATGTCGCCTGCGGGACAAGGGAAGTACTTGTATGTGACTAAGAAGTATCAGCATGTGGTGGATTGTTTCAATGATTGAACAAGGCAGTTCACGACAGGGCACGAAGAACCATGTAAAAACATCAGTGCTGGGCATGGTTGCCCTGCCGAACCGAACCGGGGGGACCAAAGAGGGAGCTAGGTACATCAAGTCTGATGCAGTCTCTTACCGTCCACAGCCTGAAAGTCTGCATAACTCACTGAAGGACGGGTGGAGGGAAGCTATGTAGCAAGGAGCAGTGTGCGGAACCTCTCCAGGTTCAATGTACTGTGATGTTCTATATACTGGCCTCTAATCTGGCAATTAACCCCAGAGCCAAGGCATTCATAAGGGAGGAAGCAGAAAGGGACAGCTGCCAGCTGACAAGCAGGTAGTAATCATGCAGGGTGGTTGCATGCTCTGTGAGAATTGACGGGTGTCGAGAGTAGGTGCATTAGTCTGTCGTCGGTAGTTGTTTCTTCGTTTCATTCTCAGATAAGATACTCCATGGCATGCAGTCTGGAGTGTTAGTGCTATTTTACCCATGTGATCAGACTCATCGGAGGGAAAGCAACATGGGGCAGGTTTGGGCTGCGATGACAATGTCATCCTTCTCTCAACGGGAGGTCTGATCTGTGAACTTGATCGTTGCGGCTCGGGCGGAGGAACTTGGATGGTGAAGTGGACGTGTGCGCTGCTATGACTCTCCTCTCTTGCGTCGGGCGTTTCGACCTCGACCTGTTTGTGAGGCCTTCATTGCCCTTGTGAAGTTCAGTTGATATTCAAGCAAGAGAGATTGTGCACTTGCCAGGGAAACTCTCTGGGCTCTCGTGAAGTCCTGGTCACCATATGAGAAGGATGTCTTGCAGCTTGAACTCGCTCCATCTGTTTCGATCATGACCTGGAGCACAGCTTTGGCTGTGAGTTGAAGCAATGGGTGAAGCTGTGAAGTGACATGAAAAGGGTCTGCATCGCATGACGAACGCCATCATAAAGGAAGGGAGGACAACTCGCTCCATCTGTTTCATCCATGACCCAGAGCACAGCTTTGGCAGTGAGTTGACGCAGTGAGTGGAGCTGTGAAGCGTCATGAAAAGGGTCTGCATCACATGACGACCGCCACCATAGAGGGAGGGAGGAAGGAGAACGCGCTTCAGCTTCGGTGTGATACATGCATTGTTGGGCGGTGACAAAAGACCAGCTCATTTTGTTTGCGACTTTACATGCAACTGTGAATGTGAGGGTGGACGGAGAACGGTTTAGAACTTGAGATGCAATAAGACTTTCGCTTGGCTGTTTGTCTTCACTTTGAACGAGGCGGAGCATCATCGTCAACGGTGATGCTGCTCCACAAGCATTTTCTGAACTACTGGTACAAGACATGAAAGGTAGGAGAGAGTGGTCAGCGCCTTTGCTTCATTTTCGTTCTGTAGAGCTTGTTGAGGGTATGGTTGGCTCTGATGAGTTTTGGTGCATCTCAGCCATCGGTAGCAGCAAGAGTCAAGTGTACTGTTTTAAGGCCCACTTTGCCCAATTTTACTAAGCACGAATACTTCTTTCGATCGATCAAGTCATCGGGCAGCTGTTAGCGTAATAGCAGAGACCTTCAGTCACAGATTCTCTCACGTTCACATAAGAATCTCGGTAGTTTCACTCCTCGGTTTGCTGCTGGCGGGTGAATCAGAGGGTATCGAGTACTATGGACTGTGCATAGCAGTTTTGCACTTTGTATATACATATGCTTTTTGCGATTTTGCAAACCCATACATTTTCTCTGCAAGTCGATGATTTTGCCGGAATTTCAGGACTCCATGCCGCCAGGAGCCGACCGTGTCAGGGCATATCGTGCTATGCAGTGGCTGCAACGCAAGACTTCGACTGTCCAGCACCTTGTTTAGGATTGTGTAGGGTAGGGTAGTTTAGGAGTATGTAGGATTAAAGCACTACATCCAATGTCCGTTGCAGATGATGTCCTGAGGATAAACTGCCCTCCACATCCCTTTGGAAGTTTGGATATATCAAAGGGGTTCCTTTGCATTGGGTAGGCCTTCAGGAATATGCTGTAATTCATACAGAATGTATTGAAGGCAGCCCTTGCGTTGGGTAAACCTGCGGGAACATGCTGTGATTCGTACTCAGGATACGGGATACGGGACCGCATCGCGTGCGATCGACACCCATTTGATTGAATGTAGTCCATAACTGTGGGTTGGCAAGTCGTTGAGAAAATTAACTTCTCAGAGAGTCGAGGAGAATAGGGAGGCTATGTCTTTAACTTCTGCATTCTGCTGGTAGGTAAGGACATTGACGAAGGAGAAGGATAGGAGAGGGTTATGCTCACAGGTGGAGGCAATGGCGGGGATGATGCAGAGTGCGGTGGAACATTCGGGTCAGCGCAACAAAGAATAAAGGGGATGGGACAGCAGCTGCCTAGTTGCTTGACTAAGCTACATAGGAAGCTGACGAGGCTGCTCAAAGTGTGGGACCTTCCAGCGTGCTTATGAACTTGTCACGCAGCATCATCGGCATCATCACATTTAATGCCCGGGATGATGGAGGGGAAAAAGCGGGGCCGGAGAGTGCGTGGGGGTGTTTATGACCTCGTCCTCGTCCGGCTCTCCCTACTTCGTTTGCTGGTTCTCCTCGCCACCTTTGGAAGGTGCCATGGGTGAACATAGATGTGGTGGGCATATTCCTCGCCATGTGATCGATCCTCTCGATTCTACTAAACGGTTCAGGATAGCGTTGTTGCAAAGCACCATTTTTTGAATTTCAGAATAAATGCCGGTTACGGCTACTGTCCTCTGCACAAGCACTCGTTTTCGTCCATCGGTCTGTGGCATGTGCAGTCTATTTTACAGTCTCTGTGAGCTGTCGCGTTTGTCCTTGTAATGCGTTGACTGAAGATGCATGCCTGCATCGTACGTAACCTGAGTGTATTCTCAGTGTACTAGTGTAGTGAATAAATGCCGGTTGCATATTCACGTGAACGCCGTAAAGTACATTCGCGTTGATTGAATAGTATGAATACAAAATTTAAAATTTTGCCAATTATCACCTGAGCAGTGAGTTATGCTCAGGGTCACCTTTTTGACTAAGCTGACTGTACATACTACATTCTGTGTTCTACTGACTCCGATCAATCATTTCTGATCCTGTCGAATGGAGAAGTCTGCCTTTGCACCATCGGGGGGAACTTGAAAATAGTAACAGTTTTGAATCTTTCGATTGTCCTGTCACCTTTTCTTCATACTTGCGGCGCACCGGCACTGTGCGCGGATCCAGGGTGCGCAGGCCCCGGGGTGCTCCGCGCATCTGGGTGTGCAGTGCGTGCTGCGCTGTGCCGGTCTGGTGTGCTTCGCGCATGTGCGCAATGTATATTTCCATGTTCTAGCGGTAGATTCATTTGATTTTGTTCTCTCTCTCTCTCTCTCTCTCTCTCTCTCTC